ACAATCCATCTTATAAGGCCTACAAGAGTGTCAGCTCCATTTAGGGGTCAGTCAAGCATAGGTCAGGGTCAAGGTCAGGTCAACCGGGTAGGCACATATCCCCGAAAATCAAAACTGATATTCGCAGCTTGTGACACATGTTTTATGGGTAATTTGGGGCGTAGAACACGATGGTGACATTCATTTTATCATATGTGTACGTGTTTGGCTCAAAAAGCTCAATTTAATAAATTCATGTATCATGGTCGTGAAGTAGTCACGAAAAATTGCCAAGATTCAGTTCAAGATTATGGCAAATGCGGAACGATAATCAATAATCGAAGATAGCCATTTGATTGATCATGGTATTGGCAGTCTAATGGCGTTTACGGCATGTCTGTATGTTTATTCTGTGATTTTATATGATTTTTTGAACATATGCCGTTTTAGGTCGAAAACTCAGAAATCATGACGTCACTAAAACCTCGATATCTAAAAAATTTTCCGCCCGATTTTTTTGAAACTTTGTCACAATAAACTTCAATCAATTCCCTACAGGTACCAAAAACCGTTTATACGCCGTTTTTATGCTATGGCCCGGCGAAAAAAAGTGGGGGCGTTTAACGCCCCCCCCCCCCCAGCAACTCGCGGGTTAATCGGGCGCTTTCATCTAGGAGATTTTTGCAGATACGTCAATGCGTTAGATGACCCAAATGACGATTGACCTGAAGGAAGTTGGGGGCGAGGAACACGCACGTGCCATCCGTTTTTTAATCGGGCGCTTTCATCTAGGAGATTTTTGCAGATATCTTTTTGATTTGTGAAAATGACCAGCCTAGCGGTATGCCAGCCGCTGATAAATTATTATCTTGCTGCGGCCGGGCGCTTATTTGCGGTGTTTGCGTTTGGCGGCTGGCGGGCGACTTTTAGTCGTTTTCGGTTAGCAGTTAGCGTCGGGGCGGTGCGGGCGGTTTTATTTTTTCGGCGTTTCGGCGGCGTTTTTTCTGTGTGGTTTGCGGCGGTCGGGTGATTTTTTTGCCGTTTGCGTTGGCTTTTCGGGCGTGCGTTTTACACGTTTTGCGGTGTTTACGTTTTGCGGCGGGCGGGCGTTTTGTGTTTTTTTTTTTGCGGTGTTTGTCTTTGGCGGCGGGCGGGCGGGCGGGCGATGCGGGCGGTTTTCTTTTTTTGCGTCGTTTGCGGTGTTAAATTTGTTTGCGGTTGGCGGCCGCTTTTTCGTTTTTTTGCGGTGCTTTTTTTTTGGCGGCGGGCGGGCGATTTTCAGGCGTTTTCGGTTGGCGGTTAGCGGGCGTGCGATGTGGGCGGTTTTATTGTTTTGCGGCGTTTTTGAGTTTTTTTTATTTGCGGTTTGCGGCGGGCGTTTGTTTATTTTTTGCGACCTTTGCGTTGGCGTTTCGGGCGTGCGTTTTGCGGTGTTTGCGTTTTGCGGCGGGCGGGCGTTTTTCACAATTCAAAGTTCAAACCTTCGGGCCACAGCGCTCCTCGAAAAGCGCTGCCCTCGAGTAAGCCTTGATTTATTCTTAAAACACTGCACAGAGGCGTTTGTACTTAATTTATTTACAAAAACTAATTCAATGATATTTGAAATTAGCAAACACATTTTTACTCGCAATCTCAAACAAAAGTTAAATTTATCCGCGTTTCATTAAATTAATCAGCTGGCAACCATCACCCATCGTCCTCGATGTAGTCGAACTTGGCGCACTCGGATAATGTTCGAAATTTGTGACGCTTACTTGTTGCTATTGCGACTGGGCAGTACCTACGCTTTTCATTCGTCAACAAGTGCTTGCGGTCACACTTTTGAACACAGTCTTTATGCGTCAGTTTGTGTGACGCGTCATATCTGAAACATATTTCGTGAGGCTCCAAAACCATTGAATTCATCTCCTTCAAAAGAAGTGTTTTGTAACATTTTCGATATCTTCTTTGGGCTTAAAGGGACTATCCCACCTTCTAAAATGTTGTTAAAACCAGTTAAATTGTGCCCGACTTTATAGATTGGATGACCAGGAACACGGTTCTGGCATTTATTTTTCATTAAACATCTTAGGCTTCCCATATTCCAAACACAAACTTTCAAATATGTGACGTCACAGCCCAAAATTACCTCCTTCCCCAGGCCACATTACTGTCATAAAGCTGATTCTTTTTACTCTGTAGGCACCACAACTAAGTTCAGACCAAGTTTTAAGCGATTTTTCAACGAACAAACCCATTTAAATCAGAATGACTAAACGAGGTGACGTCACACTAACGGTCGCTCCATGTTGAAGATAGGGCCTTGTACAAGGCCCATTTTTCAAATGAAGGGAACGAATTTCTTCAACACCAAGAGGCCGCGGGGGTTGCAACCTAGATAGATAGTGGTTTCTGAACCTCGCCACAAACTTGGCTATCTCAACTCAAACCCCATGTTAAAGGTGGGATAGCCCCTTTAATTGCTAGCTCCATTCATCCTATCTTGCGTGAGGATAGTCATCACTCGGGGACCAGTCGTCGAAAGCAAGAAACAACGACGAGGAGGTCTTCTAATAAGTCGCGGCAATTGCATTGAGCATTAAATGACGAAAATATGTCTACCCCCACCGCCTCAGCCGATCACGTGCCGTCACCCACCTGGCCATGACTACTTAAAGTGACCATCCCACCTTAACATTAGTTTTGAGTTGAGATAGCCAAATTGGTGGCCATGGCCTGCAAATACCGGTTTGGGCACTCACAACATCGAAAAATGCTTTAATTCGGAGATATGGAATTTCAAACTTGCAGTTTTCGGATTCTAAGGGGCTAATGCATTGAGATGCCCCCTTATAATTTGTGACGTCAGCGGTGATCTAACGATTTTAAAACCTTATACCTACTAACATCTTTGTAAAGCAGTGGTGGTATATGCTATTTGCGCGCAACATCTACCGCGAACGCCGCACTTCCAAAATGACATGGGCGTCGCCACCACTACGGACACTACGGACAGTGTCCGTACAAGTTTTGGAAGGCCTGAAAACTTGTACGAAATGTCCGTACAAGTTTCGACGACTGCATAACAGTCTTTGCAGCACATGTTTTGAAGTAGCTTAACGCTTATCAGTCCCCTATTTGTGGGTTATCAGTCATCACTTATTAACATTTCTCGACAGGACAGTCCAATCCTAGTGGCAACTCCCTGAGTGAGCCCAGCTTGGACCATCCCCACAGCCCGAGAACGCAACGCCTCTCTTGACTCGTCCATTTCTGACACCCCGCGGTCCACAACTGACCTGGGATCGCGGATCTGGGCCCCCTTTCACCGTTCCGACGCTACGCCCGCTGTAGCGCGTTGGGAGCTACAGCATATCAAAACGTCACTTGAATGACGTTGCGTGCGATCCGTTAGCTTACGATGAATCGCGTTTGGAACAGAGGTCCATAACGACCAAGTACCAAGAACAGACTTTTGAGTTCGAATACTGCTAGCGTGGTGCTGCTGGCGCTGGCGCCGCGACGCGACGCGCTAGCGTTTTGCGATGACGTAATAGCTTAGCTTCAGAGTGAAGTTTGTTGATATTGCCATGGAAACCCAACGCACCGACGCGTACAGCGCTCTGCCGTGAAACACCGCCCTGACCTCCCCATGTCACGTGTGCCGCTAGGCGCTTGGTGACCGCACGCACGGTGGATCACCATGATTAGAAGCCTGACCAAAAGTTTGAAGTATTTAAGTTCAGTGCTGCCTATGCTATCGAACACAATAGTTAAAAACGGGTGAGAACGAACTTACGGAACACCCTATACCACCAGAGCAGCAGCTGTCTCTTACCAAAGTTTTAGCATAAGACTAAAAATCGCTAGACCTGCACTGACGTTACGAAGTCTAAGGGGGCATTCAATTGCATAAGCCCCTTGGAATCCGAAACTACAGACTTTGAAATTAAATATCTCCGAATTAAAGCATATATTGATGTTGTGAGTGCCCAAACCGGCAATTGCAAGCTAGGGACTCCAATTTGACCATATCAACTCAAGGATGGCCACTTTAAGTGTCCTCCGTCCATGCAATCAGGAAATCGGCAAAACTGATGGTCCAGGGTGCAGTATGCCTACTCTTAAACGTTGACAGAAATTCATATAATGCCAATAAAACAGGTTGTCGACATAAAAAGGACGTTTCATAAATACCATGAAGGTCACTCTCCGCGACACTTATTTTTCCTTCAAACAATCAGCATTCCCAAGAATAAAATGCTCTAAACCAGGTCAGAAGGCAGAGGCTCTTTTTGGCAACACTACTTAGGTGCCATCACGCAAGCATCAAAACGCATCCAAAGCTATAGGAAAGATACTCCATCAACATCTGATATCGACACCTTTTTTTAACCCCACATTTGTTCTCCGGTGAATTTCAGACAAGTTGGTTAGAGACCTTCAAAAAAGGTACAATCACTCGATTTTTCTCAAGTTTATCTAACTTGGCAGATAAAGCAATACCAGAACAGGCTTACGAACACACATATTTGATCAGGATCGGACGATTGGACACTTTTAAAAGGAGATCTTTCGTGCCTCCCGCGGAAATTCACGGGAGAGCAGATGTGGGGTTTAAAAAAAGGTGTGGATATATGTACTGCATTTCTGAAATAAGACAGTATTAACATAACACGATAAGATACCACGTCTCAAACAGAATACATACAAAGTTCGCATTAGCATGATATGACTCGGTGCGTTTAAACTCTGGATCTGCATCAATAACACAAATGGCAAAATCCAGGCTGTTACATTGTTCGGTGACCTAATACACATATAACTATTGTCAACCTTAGGGCCTTGGTCAACCTGTTAAGTGTTATTATATAATATTATATTCCAAAACAAAAACTGAAAAGTCATTCCAAAGGACGTAAAACGTCTTCCCACAACGACGCACCACAGTGCAGCGCAAAAAGTGCAGTGCGCAAAAAGACGAATTCAAAAAGTGCTCAAAGGAAAAACCTTAATTTGAGCATCACGCGCCAAACGCAATTGTTTTCGACGGTTGCCTATCTTTCCCAGCATTTGTCTCGATTTGTCCGGTTTCGCTACGAATTCTACGTTAAATATTGCAAAAGTATGAAACAATAATTAGTATAAAACGAAAATAAGCGTGTTAATAGGAATCATTAACATTTTAGAGCAACATTTATATTCATCGAACGATGCAATATTGGTCTAACGTACGGTGAAGATGATCTGGCGTGAAAATCGTTTGCATGCCAACTGCCCTGGCTAACTAGCAGCATCATTCTGAAAGTCCAAAATGGGACTTTCAACTCTTTTTGGAGGAAATGGTAAGCTATTGCATCTTGTCCGCAATTAAAATACCCACGCATGATAGCATGCATGAGCTGCACTTTTAGGTTCGTCTAATTTATAAAATTGATTTCGTTTGCGTCAGTTCTATTCAGTTCTATCACTTCATGTCCTAATCGTCAGAATCATTTGAATCAATGTGGTATTACAGAGCCATTTTGTATGCTAAATCCCTGTGAGTGCAGTTGCACGGTTTTAAACTTTTCAACGAGGTATTCTGTTTTGCTTCCGGCTCAAGTAGGTATATGTCAGCTCTGTTTACAAAGACTACTATCTCGGTTTATATATGTACACTGTGGTCATAGCAAAGGTCATAGCTACACCGACTGAACGATTGCCTTAAAAGTTTCAGCGATTGATACGAGTAACAGTATCTATAAAAACGTATTTCTCGGAATTTTGATATCGGTGACCTAAAGTCAGGTGCCAATTTTGTGGCCTCTCCATTATAAGTCATTGGGAGAAAATTGAGCGCCATTCTAGACACTCCCACTCATCGGGATGCAGATAAAATTGACACACTGAACCGGAAAATGGCACCTGCAACCCCTCGTTATGTCCCCAAGGTCATGTCAGGTCACGATTAGTAACAGTTTTTCGCTAATACCTTCTGGTAGAGGCATGCTAGAGCAATGAAGCCTTAACCCTCGCATGTGTGCGGCGTTTGCCAGCTTCTAATGTGTAGGGGGGGGTGTCGGTTGGACCCCCCCCCTTGCCGTTTGGCCCCTGATCGAGCTAGAGCTTCGCGGAAAAAACGAGCGTGTTGCCCGTGATGAGAGGAAGCCGATGATACCCAATTTTTAGGTCCTTGGTCATTGGTTGACCTTCCAGGTCAGGTCAATGACCCAAAGTCGGAAAAATCGGGACCCATTAGAAAGTCGTAAAGTGTGGCTGCTAAGGGGTTTTTCGGGGTGCTGATCACGAATATCGTGTTAGTTTTGATCACAGATGATGTCTTTAAGCATTTAGACCAGGTCGGGTCAGGTCAGGTCAGGTCAACCAGTAGGGGTTGTGACGGGTATTCGTAGTACGTGTCAACCGCCTCTGACAGCTTCGTAACATGTTACGAAGGCACCAAAACTACTTCGTAAATGTTCAAATGGTTGCTAAATTCGAATTCAGCTCCAAAAACTAGCCAAGAAACATGTACAACTCGAAAAAGTGAACCGAGGTCACCCGAGGTCACCAAAGGTCAATGACCTGACCTGACCTTCAGGTGACCTTGACACCCACCCTAATGCATGGGAGCAACATCAAATCACATGTTTGAACGTTTGAAACAACGAAAAGCTTGCAAACGCGCGGCAAATGCGAGCCGACATACGCGGAATCGCGATTCCGGCCAAACATGGTCTCGGAAAAGAGGTCACAGGTCAAAGGTCATTTGGGTCAGGGTCATGAAATTTTCAGGGTAGGTGTAAAATTGATCAATGCGAGGGTACTAAAAGTTTCGTCGCGATCGGCCGCTTTTTACGCGAGTTATTCGCGAAAAACCATGGGGGGTCCATCCGACCCCCCTACACATGCGAGGGTTAACCCTCGCACGACCAGGCCATTTCTCATAACACGAACGACCAGGGGGGGGGGTTGTTACGACCCCCCCCCTGGCGTTTCGAAACGGAAGGTCGTAGAGCTTAGTGGAAAAAACCAACGGATTGCTCTCAACGAGATCTCGCGATTGGTGGTATATTTTTTGGTCCTAGGTCAACATTTGACCTACTTTTGACCGGTCAAAGGTCAAATTTTCGGAAAAATAGACTTTTTTCAACTTTTGGCGGCGATTGCGGCAAAACGGTGGGAGATATCGACTTGAAACCTTCACTATCGTGTTCCTTGATCAATTCTCTATCGTTTGGTATGTATTTCGTTTCCCTAGCTCTAAAAATGGCGCGTTGGGAGCGCCGGAAGTCGGCAAGGTCACAGTCGGCGGCAGAAATTCGAAAAATCAAAATTTAAATTTTTGAAATCTGATTGTATTTTTGGATTTGGAAGGTCCATTTGCTCCTTATAGAAGCTAATATTGCTGCATATTCCCATTGAGGTGACAAGAATTAGCAAAATAGTGGTTCGGGCGCTTTTCAAAAATAGTACCGGACGCTGTTCCTCTTATGACGTCATAACTCCGTGACCTGACCTGACCCGGTCAATTTTCTTGCACCACACGATAGCCAATGCTTGCCCCAAAATGCATGGGAAGTTTCATCATGATCCATCAAACAATGTGGGTATCACCGGCAGAAAACCTAGGGATTCGGCGCACACGTTTGGTAACTGTCGGCCGGAGGCTGTACCTCTTATGACGTCATAACTCCGTGACCTGACATGACCCGATCATTTTTTTCGGCAAAAGATGCGCAAAGGTTGCCCCAGAGGGTATTGAAAATTTCAGCCCGCTACGACAAGCCGTTTAGCGTGCACTTCGAAAAAACCTCAGGGGGGGTTGATACAACCCCCCCCCCCCTAGGCGTTCTAGGGTTAAATGTGTTCGACTCGACGATACGGATCGACTGATATGCAATATGACCTTTTCCGGTCAGGTCATGACTTTGACCTGAGGACAGATTTCCAAGTTGACCTTCCTTTCAATGCCAAATTATAGTTCGTTCGAATTGTCTCGACGAGAGGAATATGATGATGGCAAAAGTAATGTCGTGGCTCTTTTGAGTCAAAAGTTATTACCGAAAAAACAATTTTCGTAAAAACGGCTATTTTTGGAGTTTTTGCCCTCTGGAGGCTAAACCGTTGACCTGAGGTCAAGCGATTTATTTATCAGTTCAGAAATAATTTCTGACAAGTCGTCTATCCCTGTGGGGTTGTGTATATAGTCAAATACGAGCTAGGAGTTTCGGAAATAATAGCCAGGAAGAAATAATTTTGAATAAAATTAAGTGTCTGTGAAATCAATGTGCGCCAGCCAGTTTTCTTAGTAATTCAGCTAGCAATTCTCGTGCTGTGTTCAAAGAGACGATTACAGTCGTCTCTTTGGGTCGAACTTAAAAAAAAACGAACTCTAGCAAGATATGCGGCCTTAACCTTAGTTGGTCTCTCTTACCCCACCTTCCCCTATTCTGAGTCCTCTCGTGCAAAAAAAAAAGGATCTAGCTTAAAAACTAAGCTCTTAAGAGCGATTGTCGTAGTTCAATGTTTTGCTTCAAAATTGGCCGACATGGTGCCACCCTGACGTCATTTCCAGCCGACCTGTGGTTGCCACGAAATTTTCCTTTGGACACAAGGTGTCAAATTAATGCAGCCGAGGTTACTGCAAGTTTCGTGTTGCTTAGCCAAGGTTTGCCACACAGTAACGATAAAAGTTTTGGTCTGGCCGAGATTCGAACACAGGACCTTCCGATGTATCAAAAACATGGGGTCCATATATGGACGAATATCTCGAAAACGGTTGGATGGGCTTGAACTTTTCATCCCAAAAATGGAAATAAAAATGTTGTAGCTATCTTTTAACATACTTTGTATGTGGATGCCCACACTACGAGACCTTGAAAGAGTAAGAGACTAAAATGAGGAGCTTCTACGGCCCAACGAATACAGGGTTGGGCAGATAAATTGGGACAAATTTCAACTTACTCTAAAGCTACTATTTTTTGAGTGATAAAGATAATTTTTGAACATAAATATAGGCTAATGAATACTCTTCCATGTTAAGCAGGTTGCGTTGTAATTTTGAGTCGGCTGGTCACAGAACGTGGGCTTAAGCAAGCCACTATTAACTTAGTCCGCGCGCACATGCATGCCAATAATCTAATTATGTTCCATCAAATGGCTGGAAGTAGTGTGTATCGAACAGACGTAAACGTTGGAGGAAGAGAAGATATTGACTCATCCTTACATACCTATTGCATTGACACCGGCCGCTCCCCCGGCTTTCCAGGGGGGGCTAAAAGGCAAAATTCAGTTAAATCAGAGGATCCTCGCGAAAACAGTGGCGCGAGCTTACAACGAAGGTAGCCGCGCCATGAGAAAGCGATATACCAGCACCTCAAACATGTACTCTTATGCATTGATGCATATCAACCTGTTAACATAGGTGTTGCAGCAGCTGTGATGTTAAAAAGATATTTTCCTCTTGAATGGCTTGGAGAAGCGAGCAAGCACGTGCAGGTCTTTTTCGACGATGGTATCCCCATGACCGAACATATGAACAACCGCAAACACCATGTAACATCGCAACCAGCCCAGAAGACGTGATCTTAGTTCCAAAAAGCATGCAGCAGACATCGGTGATGGCATTCCACTCGGTGACTTCTGACGGTCACGTGGGGCCCCCTTATTTTACGGAATCGGGAGGGGGTTCGCCATTACAGCGTACCTAACCATTATTCCGGCAGTTCGAATCAACAAGATGGAAGAAGGCAACATCCTGCATGGAGTGATGCTCTTCGAGGAGTAAGCTACCCGGCATACAGTAAATTAAATACAAAATATCCTGAAACGGAGGATCCCGCAAACTCCCCAAGGGAAAATGCCCCCTTCCTCATTAAACCTCAGCCCACACAAGTTCTGGTTGCTGGGGCGTTTTTGCGGGAGTCTAGCGAACGTCCCCATGTGACTGTGGTGAGCCTCAGCAGTGCCAGTTGGCTACAATTACGAGCCATTTCAGACGGGAGATCTCGCCGCGCGTGCGGCCAGTCCAGGCACCGATAAGGACTGGTGCAGGTGGACCACGGTGACCATATTTGGTGATAAATGTGTAAAATTGGTGTGACAATATGTGATCCAAATTTGAAATGCCTATGTTTGCAAATTTCTAAGCTACGGCGTTCTGAATGCAAATATGTATTTTGTCCCAATTTATCTGCCCAACCCTGTAAGGAACACCTCAGGCAAAGATATTTCATTTCTCGTTCCGAAATCAGTGCATTATGCAGAAATTCAGTGCCTTACGAAAGAATGCTAAGAATGCAGCCACCTGTCGTAGAGGCCAGCGTCAGCCAATCGGCATGCACTTACCTAGTTTTGAACTACGCAATATGATTGGCCAATGCGTAATAAACTTTCGCCTCATACACGATTTAGCCTCTACCAAAGATGGAATATAGACCTTCCTTTAAGAAAATAAGGTAAAAGTTCCTGTTGTGAATATTAATTATGTGAATATTACTTATTATCCTTATATTTATATAAGGATATAACTATGTATAATTAAATTATGATGTAATCATAATTATATTTTTATACGCAATATGATTGATCAACATGGGTGGAGAACCTGCCCCGGCCACCCCGGCCGTGGCCGGGGTAACTTTCAGCCGACCCCGGCGCGGCCGGGGTAACTTTTTCCACTTTTGTAAATCCTAAAAGCTGTCTCCATACGAAAAAACTGCCATCTATAAAAGCGTCTCTCATTATTCTTATCTACCTTGAAAAGTTCTTGAAAATTTACTTTATTTAAGGGCCGTTATCGTAAGATGGCACTGTAATAACATCACAAGACAGGACGAGGGTAATATCAGTGAGATAGAAGGACGAGCTGCTGGGGCTCAAGGCTCCCCCAACTTAACCCGCGCCAGGGTGGTAGCCTTATCGTAACACGTTGAGTCGAGGGGTGGGCTTTTCACGCTCCTTCTAACTCGGCTACTGGGCTACGAGGCGAGAAGCGGAACGACGTTTGAAAGAGCGACAAACGTGATCGGAGAAATCTGGTCATGTTTTAGGCAAGCTCAATAATACAATCACCATAGACTATCAAAAGCCAAATTACTCTGATGTTAGCGTTCTCCGAGACAAATTTTCTCACAGTTCATGAACATAACGGAGCTTAAACACTGCAAACAAAACATTCGATTACTCGTTTAAGGCTCGGTCGCGAATCATATTTCAGGTACGAGCTCAAATCAATAAGAGGGTCAAAACGGTCAAATTTGACATTTTGTTTGATGTGGGAAGGTTGCAACTTCCACGGAATAAGCTTTGCAAAGGGCATGATGGCATTTTTAGCACGATCATCCAGCAAATTTGATCTGATGACCTGACCTAGCACTATAGGTGACATGCGTCCTTAAAGGGACCCTCCCACCTTAACATTAGATTTGAGTTGAGATAGCCAAAATGGGGTCCCTGGCTCACAATTAACGGTTTCGGCACTCACAACATCGAGAAATGCCTTAAATCGGAAATATTGAATTTCAAAATTGCAGCATTTTGATTCAGAGGGGCTAATGCATAGGAATACCCCTCTGAATGTGTGACGTCAGCGCAGATATCTAACGATTTTTAAATGTTTGACTAAAATGTTTTGTAGCACGCGGTGGTATATGCTGCTTTGCGCGCAACAAGTGCCGCACTTTCAGCTGCCAAACTATTGCTTCCAAATAAAGTCGCTAGGAACAGCGGAGATCCCAAAAAGTAAACAAAAGTAAAAGTCTAATATCTTGAAAACCGGTGAATATTTTTAATTTGGTAGATATTCGTTTTCGCTCTTTCTGAACCGAGCGACATCACTTTCATGCCAATTCATAAACTTTTTTGAAGGTGGGAGGGTCCCTTTAAGGCGTGTTGCAAAATTGTTGTTACGATTACGAAATCTTCCGCAGTTTTCCCTAAAAACGTACAAACGGCAGACATCCATTATTCTATGCCGCAGAATAGGGGTTTGTTGATAACCGTTGACAAATATTTGAGCATCATCGTCTTTCTGACTTTCGGTCGGCGGCCGGGGTAACTTTTTCAAACATTCTCCACCCGTGTTGATCAATACGTAATAAACTTTCGCCTCATACACGATTAACCCTATTCCTGGCGGGCTCCGCCGGGACAAGAAACTGGCGGGGGGGGGGGCGATTCGGCCCCCCTTCAGATCTCAAAAACTACACATCGCAGCGACAAACAGCGAACGGTGTTTGATAGGTCGTTTAAAGATCTACAACTTTTACATAAAACATTTTCATGTCAGGTCAATATTGAGGTAACCAGAGGTCAGCAACGATAAAATGTTTTGGAATTAGTTACCTATATAACTTTTAAACTAAGAAACATAGAGACATAAAACCAATACATTTTTTGTTGTTCACGCCGAGGCGATGCGAAATAAGTATGTGATGACCTTCACAGGTCAATTTGAAATTTGACCTGAGGTCAAGGTCAGGTCATTCATCAATGAGGTTGTGGGGTATGGTCAGGCTGCATACCAAACGACGCGCCTTGACCAGGCGAGCAGTTTGGTACCACTTACAAGTCTTTAGCACCACCATGTCGTGATTTATTGACAGAAAAACGATTTATGACATCACATGACCTCAGATGACCTTTGCCGGTGCCCCTGTCAATTAGCGGCACCAGGATCATCACCGATGAGATAATCTTCCATAATACTGAAAGAATTGGATTTCTGAGGTAGGGTCACCAAACCGCCTCTGGTGACCTGACCTGAGGTAAGATCAACTCAAAAATTTCAGAACTGTTGCGTAAAAGCCTTTTAGGAAAAGTCAGAAAATTTGAGCTTCCTAGCTCAAAGCGTTTGGGAGAAATAACCAAAAAACCTCAGGGGGGGGGGGCTCCTGAGCCCCCCCGCCAGGAATAGGGTTAAGCCTCTAGCAAAGATGAATATAGGCCTTCCTTTAAGAAAATAAGGTAAAAATTCCTGTTGTTGATATAAATTATTTTCTTTAATGATCATTTTAACCCTCGCCCGTTTAGGGAGGGGGGGGGGGTCGAACGGACCCCCCATGTTTTTTTTTCGCGAATAACTCGCGTAAAAAGCGGCCGATCGCGACGAAACTTTCAGTACCCTCGCGTTATTCAATTTTACACCTACCCTGAAAATTTCATGACCCTGACCCAAATGACCTTTGACCTGTGACTTACTTTTCGAGACCATGTTTGGCCAGAATCGCGATTCGGCGTATGTCGGTTCGCATTAGCGGCGTGTTTGCAGTCTTTTCGTGGTTTCAAGCGTTCAAACATGTGATATGGTGTTGCCCCAGGCATTAGGGTGGGTGTCAAGGTCACCTGAAGGTCAGGTCAGGTCACTGACGTTTGATGAACTCGTTTCACTTTTTTCAAGTTTTACATGTTTCTAGGCCAGTTTTTGGAGCTGAATTCGAATTTAGCAACCATATGAACATTTACGAAGTAGTTCTGGTGCCTTCGTAACATGTTACGAAGCTGTCAGAGGCGGTTGACACCTACTAGGAATACCCGTATAGGACCCCTACTGGTTGACCTGAACTGACCTGACCCGACCTGGACTAAATGCATGAAGACATCATCTGTGATCAAAACTAACATGATATTCGTGATCAGCACCCCGAAAAACCTCATAGCAGCCACACTTTACGACGTTCTAACAGGTCCCGCTTTTCCCGACTTTTGGGTCATTGACCTGACCTGCAAGGTCAACCAATGACCTAGGACCTTAAAATTGGGTATCATCGGCTCCTTCTCGTCACGGGCAACACGCTCGTTTTTTCCGCGAAGCTCTAGCTCGATCAGGGGCGAAACGGCAAGGGGGGGTCCAACGGACCCCCCCCCCCCCCTTATACGTTCGCGGCTGGAAAAACACCAATACGGGCGAGGGTTAAACATAAAAAAGCATCAAACTGTAACAAAAGTACTTTGAGGAAAGTGATATATTCCCTTTAAAAACAGACCGAGAAACTCCCGATAGTTGATCTGACCTGAACTGACCCGACTTACCCCAAATACATAAGACTTGGAAGCTCAAAAAATTGCTTATGACCATAAATTCGAACAAAATCAGCCTTTCTTTGTCACGAGCCTAACGCTCGTTTTTTCGGCGAACTCCAGCTCAGTCAAAGGCGGAACGCTTGGGAGGGGTCAAACGAACTTCAGCCCCAAGCTACAGCCGCACTATTTATACTATCGACTATGAGAACGCAAATATGGGCTGGGAAATACATTTCAGTGTGTGTAGATGCGCGAGAAAAGTTATGCTTCAACTTATCGTCTACAACATTGATTGTGAGATCTCGCAGTGAAAATATAATGTTGAAAAAATAATGTGTTGATACAAAACATAATTAAATAACAGCCGAATGTTTTAATTTCATTTTAATTCGACCCCTCTCTTTTCACAGCATCACCACGCCAACGACAAGCAGTTGGCCTCAAACAGATTCGCCACACAGGTCGACCGCAGCGGCTCAGCTTAGGGTGAGTCATTCGGGCTCCAAGGGCGTTCGCAGCTGAACACGATGCCTGCATAAAACCCCGAGAAATACTGCACCAGCAAGACGCCTTTTTGGGGGGCGACAAACGAGCGAGCGAGACGCACGGAGACCTTCCACTGCGAAGTTGTGATGCGAGACATCTAACTAACCTGTGCGGGTCACGCTTCTAAGGTGCCTACTGCCTACCAACTTTGATCGCAATGGGCCCAACCATTCTTAACCCGCAGCTAGGCCATGGAGGGGAAGGGGCTGCACGCCTCCTGCTGTTTTCGCGAATACCTACCTACCTAAAAACAGCTGGCATGCCTTATCTTACATTTTTCTGCACACGTAACACTCCAGATTCGGGCCTTCCAAGTTCCATGCTCAGGTCAACAGGTCAAGTCAAGTGACCTAAGACCTTATCCCAGGAAAAGTTCAAATGCTCGTCACAGCTACAGCGACTGATTAATTGCTCTGAATCTTCAGCGATTGATGAGATTAAGAGTATGCGTAAAACTACTTATATCTCGGAATTTCGATACTGGTACCTGAGGTCAGGTCACTTTTGCAACCTTGCAATTTGAAGAAAATGAAGAAAATTAAACTGCGCCCCTTCTGGATTTAAGTCCGACCTTTATATTATAACTAACCAATCTGACAACAGGTTGACCTGCAATATTAAACAGAAAGTTACTCTTGTGGGCTGCGACCCATCTTTATACCCCTGGGGTCGTCTCAGGTCATCAAAGGTCCCTAACAGTTTTTCGACTATAACGTTTGTTAGTAACCAGTAAAACGCCTTTTGGGCGAAGAACGAGCGAGCGAGATAGTGAGCCCTGCACGTGCGCAAGGGCGAGAGGGTATTTACAGCGACCCCTGCACGTGCGCACACCAACAGATAATAAATCACTATCATTAAACTTACCTACCGGTCTGATCGACTTCCTAGCTCGTCCTAGTCCATTTCAATCAGAACTCACTAATGAGTTGTCACTGATTAAGGTATCTTTGCTTCGTCCGTCACTGGACCAGTTATCAACGATCCCATCAAGTCTTTGGGTCCGACTGTCGTGGAGCTCGCCCCAACTGGCCCAGATGTGGGTCCTCCGTCCCAGCCGGTCGGTCCCTACTCCCGGCCAAAGTCACACAGGAGTCACGCTAACGGGGGTGGGGGGGGGGGGGGGGGGGGGGTGGGGGGGGGGGGGGGGGCGGGTTCATCGCTGACGATCAGCTGTCGAGCTGGCTTCCGTTTTTCTTCCGACGCCTGTGGCGTTTCAAAACGTATACCGGCTGTCGCACCGGTGATTTTTTTTTTCAGCTCCAGTTGCCTACAAAGACATGACGCTGCTAAATTATTGTGCCGTGGTACTTAGTAGCCCTGTGAGGGAGATCTCTCAAGGGTACCGAGCCTGTATTTGGCATGTTTCATGTCAAAACAAGGTAACCCTGGGCTACTAAAAGTCATGACAGCTTTAAGGCTTGTTTGTCATGCGACTTGCACTTTGGAGAGGTAAACGGAAGTTAAGAGCTTTTTTCCAGATGTGGGCGGGGAGGCGGCTCTTTACACTTCTACAGTCTGCGGTAACAGCTGTAGCCCGTTCTTGGCATGGGCGCCCGACCGGTGTGACCGATAGGAGGGGTCGGTTTGACGTCCGTTCCTGGTGGGGAGGCTATCTGCTGCCTGCGCTCTGTTGACCAGCGTTATACATGGGACCTTTGACCGTCGGTAATTAAGTGCCGCTTGTTCTCGGAAGATTTAAAGTTTTGTAAACTTAAAGTAAAGTTTTGGGAAAAGGTGACTTCCGTCACAAGTGTATGTAAACCTGGAGTTAGCGCAGTCCTGTAGCACTCTCTGGGCCAGGTGGTGGCTGCCGTGTTCCACTCTGCCTGCCGTGACGGCCGGCCCTCGTCCGTGACAGGCGGCAGCTGCGCACGCTCATGTGCTTCACCACCGAGGAGAAGCTGTCGCGGGGCGGCGCCAGCGGCGACAAGCGGCGCTGCAAGAGCGGCTCGCTGTCGCAGCGGCTACGGCTGTCCGAGTCGTGCGAGGAGCAGGGCGGCTGCTCGCAGCTGGACACGCTCACCGGTCTGGTGGTACGGCCGAGCACGTGTCCGCCGCCGCAGACGGACGGAGAGCAACCGGCGCCGCTGGCCGAGCAGACGTCCTCGTTCACACTGTCCTCGCTGAACGAGGAGCAGCTCAACTCGTACCTCACTGTGCTGCTGAAGAGCTGCAGCGCCACGGACGGCCAGTCGCTCGCGGCCGCCGGGAAGCGGCACCAGTCTGTGTGCGGCACGGTGGTCGAAATAGAGACACAACCGCCCGAGCCTGCACAGTCTGCCGTTGATGACGCGGAGGAGGCGATTAGTGCCGCGCCGTCCGCGGCCCCTAAGCCGACCAGGCGGCCCACGCGGCGCGAGTGTGAGGAGCTGATCCGGCGCCACGAGCAGCTGTTCGGGCCGATCGTCAGCAGCCGGCCGGCGCCGGTGCCGGAGCTGTGCCAGCCGCCGCCGCCGCCGGACACCGCCTACCTGCACGTGCCGTGCCACAGCGACGCCGAGCCGCGCGACCCCGAGTGGGACGCGTGGCGGCCGCACTTCAGCGTCGCTCCCGACGGCGTCTGGCGTGTGGTCGGCAGCGACATCGGCGACGACACCGAGTGTCCACCTCCACCGCCGTCCGCGGCCGCCGAGGAGGCGCCGCCGGCCGACTCTGGGGCCACCAGACGGCGCCGCCTGCTTGGTGCTCTGCGGAACAGGTGGGCATCGCTGGTCCGCGCCCACCACAAGAGCCGCGCCCCGGACCCGGTGCCGGCCGGCGACACTCCGATCGAACCCGAAACAGCCTCCGCACACGGCGAGCCCTCAGAGGCGGTCCAGGAGAAGGTCCTCTCTGAGGCGACGGCCGATGACCTACTGAGAGACATGGCCGACGCCGAGGTGGCGGCATGCACCGCGCTCGAGGGGCCGCACGAGCCGGCCGAGCTGCCGCGGCCCGACCCGCTCACCTACCGGGGCGGAGCGTTCCGACCGTGGAACCGCTTCTTCGGTCGGCCGGCGGTGGACGGGGCGTCCACGGGGGCTGACGAGACGTCCCTGCCGGACCGGAAGGAGGCCCGCGAGACGTCCCAGCCGGACCCAGTGGCACAGGCAGAGGCGGCCGACTCAGGTCAGTGATCGCTGTCCCGTTCTGATAAAATGCTCAGTTAAGGATTATTTTTAATTTTTAGGGTAGGTAGGCATGCGAGATTTGTAGTTCCAACCTCAGTCTCCTGCGTCCTAATTGGTCGGCGCGAGACGCCAGTAAACTTTTCAAGTAATAGAGAAAGGAGACTTTACCTTCGTCTTCTCAGACCTTGACACCATGGCCATTTAACGGCTCCTGGGTTATGGGTGAACGAGAAATGTTCAAAATGTCGCTAAAACTATCTCAAAATAGGTGTTTTTTTGGCAGCTCTTTATTTAGAAATGATCATTAACGGATACCATGGTAAATTGTATGTATTGCCAATGTTTTCAGTGAGATCCAAAGGCTGTTCTGGTTTTTCACAACACCTTACACGCAATATCACAAATCACAATAGGCCGCTGGCTAGAGTTGTCCGAGCAGAATGTGCGCCGGTCGGTGTGACTACACAGGGCCCGAGCGGGTGACGATCGCAGGCTCCTCTCCCGTGACTGGATGACTAGACGTGGGTCGAGCCGGAGCGGTGTTTCGAGCCGGCCAGCTCAAAGAACAGCACGTAAGCCTTTCCGCTGTTGACGTTTCTCTGGTCCATCACGTGGACCCGCGAGTCGTTGTACTCGTACCACTCTGCCGTGTACGGGTGTCGGCAGTGAGCGGTGTAATGTCCTGAGAGCAGCGTGCCAGAGTGGTTCGCCACGCCGTATAGGCTGTACCGGCAGGGCGTCTGTCCGGCCGAGTAGGGCGACAGGTCCAGGCCGTTCACCGAAAAGTCGACAGTGGTGTTCAGCTTCCCGCGGAACCTCTCCTGCGGCGAGAACCGCTTCAGGTGGACCACCAAGATACGAGGGAACTTCTGGATCGAGAGGCTCCTGGTGCACTTTTGGCGCTTCTGGCACTTTGAGCAGGTCGGTTTTTCGTCGCCATCGAGCACCTCCTCTTTGGTGAACAGGTCAAAACAGGCCTGTAGGCGCACCTGGCCACTTCGTGACGGGATTGGCAGACTCAGATCCCAGAACGGGTCGAAGGTAACCGATGCGTGGCCACATACCGTGCACCGCAGGGTAGCCTTGAGCTGGCCCACGAACAGGTCAACAAACTTGGAGTTTTCCAGGCGCAAGAAACGTTTCCAGGCCTCCATTGACTTTTGACTGGCGCTCAGTGAGTCGTCGATGTCGGTCGTGATCGGCTTTGGCCGGCTCGTCACCCGGTTCACGTCCTCGTGAAGTCCCTGCAGCAGATATCTGAGGAATTCCTGCGCGTCCTGCTGCTGAGAGCCCATGAAGCGTGGCGCGAGCCGTTGGATCATCGACTTGAGTGGTGCGGTGGTGAGCACCCGCTCCGTTTCGTCCGAGGATGTCCACATGTCGCGTATCAGGGCGCTGAATGTGTTCATGAGGGACCCCTTCGTAGCGGCGGCAGGCATGCTGGCATCTGAGGAGCGTCCATCGCGCAGGATGTAATCGTGGAGAGCGCGTGTGTTGCTCAGGCACTGGACGACTGTGTTCAGGAAGCAGGTGTTGCCCGTGTTCCTGAGGCCGGTGAGACCGAGCGGTCTGCCGTCAGATTCACTGCCAGTCCCGCCGCCGTCTTCGCTGGGGTTGCCGGGCAGTGAGTGGTGAGACAGTCTGGTGTTGGGCGGTGCAGAGGCCTCCTCCGACGGGAGTGCCAGCGGCTCGTCAGCTAAGAACTCGGGTGAGGCCTGCCTTGCTGTCTGTTTAGCTGAGGCTCGGCCGGTCGTCACAGACGGAGGAGGCGAAGGCCGGGTGCGCTCCCCTGTCACGTCTGATGGTGGCTGCTGTCGGCGGTCTGCCCTCGCCCGGTCTGTGGCGGCTGTGGCGAGAACCGCGGCGGCGTTGCCTCGCACAACAGCGATCGAGAGACGCTGTAATAGCCATTCGGTCTCGCGTCGTTCGCCGGTACGGGTGGTGATGAGCTGGCCCAGCTCGCGGATGAATTTTGAGGTGGCGGGGCCGAGTACCCCGGAGGTCTCCACTGCGATGGGCACGAACTTGAAGCGGGAGCTGATTTCTGAGTAGTGGCGCCGTTTTCTGTCTTCTGCGGCCCGAGCGGCGGCACCAGGCTCTAGGGCGGTCTGAATCAGCACAGTGTCGGCAAATGTGTCTGCGCATGTGGCATCCCATGTCAAACACATGCCTCCGCTGTACGGAAACAGCGTTAGGCCATCAGGTCGCTTGCCATCACCCCGGTCGAGGCCGACTGGCTCCAATATGGAGGGGATGCCTGCGCTTGCCAGTCCGCGCCTCACCACGTCATTTAGTTGGGCGTGACGTGGGAGACGACCGGCGCTCTTCACGCAGGAGAGCCCGTGGTGGCCGAGCTGATCCACTTGACGTCCGCACAGACGGCACCGGTGCTGCTCGCAGACTGTGGCTCCGAGGCGGAGAGCCACTGCCACCCGCACCGACTCCTCGTCCAGGTGTAGGCCGAGACTCGGCACCGGCACAGCCTGCAGCCAGGCGGCCGTGTGTGGCTGACTGGCGGCGACCAGGCGTGCCCGGTGCAGCTGGTTGGCGGAGTTGACCATCTTATCGCGAATCGCAGTGGCTGACAGGGTGTCCCAGGCCCGCTGGCTGCTGACAGCTGAGGCGGGCGGCAGTTGTTCGGTCCCTGTCACCTCAGAAAACCGGTGAATTGCTGTCTGCAGGGTTGGTGGCACACCGCTGGCCGGAAGCAGCCCCGGAGAGATGCTGCGGAGGAGTGGCAGAGCAGCGTGCAGAGAAGATATGTAGCACGGCAGTGCCAGGTCCTCGACAGAGCGAACTCCGAGACCTCCCAGTCTGAATGGCAATTTTGCCTGCTCCCACAGCTGGTCATTGATATTTACGTTTGTGATATCGACCAGAGTTTCTCGCACCAGCTCGTCCACCAGCTTGAGCGCGGGCACCACCTTGTACAGGGGCGCTGAGCGCAGCAGGTACTGGAGGCGAGGCGCTGACGCGTAGTGGACGAGAAAGAAAAGTCCAGTGTGTCGGTCCAGGTGCGTCAGTCGGGTGCATAGGCGTCCGATGAGTTCGGCGGCACCATTGGCAGCTGCGGTGAGGCTGGCGTCCTGCAGTGGTGCGCCCAGCAGAGTGACGCTGTGGAGAGGGATTTCTGTTATCTCCGGCAGGACACTGCGAATGCTGTCGACCGCTGCGTTTTGAGCTAGCTGGGGCGCCGCGTCGATGATGGCTACCTCGCACTTCGCCGGGTTCAGCTGCAGACCGAGTTCTGTCAGAGCCTTGGCGAGTGAGTGGAGGTCGCCGCGCCGCCCCCAGCCCCGACAGTCACGAGAGTCAGCTGCGCAACTCGAGCGTGCGGCCCATTGACTCGGAGGTGGACATCGCGCAGGTGCTTCACGAGCAGAGCGGCTACGCCACGCTGGGCGAGACGGCGGCGCCGGCGGCCGGCGGCTACCAGGCGCTGCCGCTGCACGAAGTGGACTCGGAGAAATTGTTATATTTACCTTCCTCTTTTAAATGTTTTAGTTAAGCACGAGTAATATTGCACAATTGTTTCCTAGCTATAAGGCTTATTTTTTTAATAATTCGTTCTTTGGGGTAGCGAACAATCAAACATGCTCGTAGCTCGTGACACAGTTCAGTGTCAAATTGACCTCTCATGTAGTGCATCTGTAGAAGTCTGTGCTGACTGCTGTTATCCTGATCTCGATACGTGCAGTGCGTGTGTACTCGACTGCGACCGTTTTACATCTGTGGCCGTGTGTCTGTACTGTACCAACTGTCCTGCAGGTGCCGGTGCCGCCGGCGGAGCGCCGCCGTCGCTGTGGTGGGGCCTCCCGCCGCCGCCGGACGTCGGTCGTCCTCCTTCGCGGCGGGAACGGCGGCCGCCGCCTGTCGATCGGCAACAGCTGTGGCTGAGCAGACCCGAGCTGGCACAGCTGTTCGCCGCCGCCGGACTGGGACCGGCCGACATGACCCGCTGGGTGCTCTGCGTGCCGCGCGAGCCTGAGGACGACGCTGTGCCTCCACCGCCGCCGCAGGTCACCGAGGGTTCCCCTGTGGAACCGCGCGATCGCCGGGCGCCGCCAGCCACTCCACGCGAGAAGTTCTTCGAGGAGCTCATGGGAACTCCCCCGGCTGAGCCGCGCACTGAGTCACCGGCAGAGCTCTGTGATAGACCGGATAACACCCGGCCTACTGCCGGCGACGGGGTCGTAATACAGCAAACAAACACGGCCGATATCGCTACCCCGGCCACACAGTTCGCCGCTGGCTGGGGCGGTCCCGCAAAACCCGGAACGCTGAATCGTGACCAGGCTCAGCGGGACGAAACACTTATTTCTATTGACCTCGGTGGGCTGGCCGGCCAGGACATGCCAATGTGTTCTGATGTGTGCACGTTCCTGCTGCCCGAGTACCAGGAAGGGGCCGTCGCGGGGAGCCCCTCCGGCCCAACGTCCCCTCGGGACGCCAGGGAACCGTACGAGACGTACGGTACGGAGCAGTGGGGTCGTCTCGGCACCCGACGGCCGGCCAGGCGACACAAGCCGGCCAGCCCGGCACCTGCCGCCCAGCCGGTAGGCAGGTTCGACTCGGAGACGGAACTGGGAGCCCACCTGTCGGAGTGGGGCCGCGCCGCCCCCGGCCCCGACAGCCACGAGAGTCAGCTGCGCAACTCGAGCGTGCGGCCCATCGACTCGGAGGTGGACATCGCGCAGGTGCTTCACGAGCAGAGCGGCTACGCCACGCTGGGCGAGACGGCGGCGCCGGCGGCCGGCGGCTACCAGACGCTGCCGCTGCACGAAGTGGACTCGGAGACAGAGCTGGGCCTGGCGCTGCCGCTCACCGACCCGGAGCGGCCGCTCGGCGCCGCCCGCCACCGCCAGGTCACCGCCTATGACTCGGAAACTGAGGTGGGCGCGCTGCTCCGCTCGCTGCACGCCACCGACTCGGAGACGGAGATGGGCGAGCGGCTGCGCCGGCTGTCGGAGAGGAGCGGCGAGGGCGCGCAGCCGGAGCAGCGGCGCGCCGTGGCGCCGTCCGACAGCATGACCCGACTGCCGGCCGCACCCGTCCAGGTCGACTCCGAGACGGAGATGGGCGTGGTGCTGAGCCTCTTTGAACAGGGGATGCTGTCCTCGCGCTACTTCGCCGGAGTGCAGCTGCCTGACGAGCCTCAGTCTGCAGACCTGTACTCGTCCGTGGAAGCTGAGGATGAAAAGGCAGACGGCGAGACATCTGTCGATCGTGTTGGCCTTCCGATGCCCCTTGATGACATATACGACGCATCCAAACGGGTGTCTCAGAAGGTGATCAAGAAGGCGCTGTTTCTATTGGGCTGTGACCCGCTGTCGCGGCCCCTGGCGCGCACTGGCAGCAGTCCGTTCGGAACCAGTGCCGGTTTGGACGGCATCGAGCTGGAGCGCGACGGATCGGCGGCCGACGGCGACCGGCACAGCCCGCTGCCCGGTGCGGAGGGCGCGTGCGACCCGCAGCGGGTGATCCCCGAGGTGCGGCTGACCACGTCGGACGGCTCGCTAGTGGTGCTGTTCCCGTCTCGGCCGGCCGACATCGGCGACACCGGCTACTACGAGACGGACGAGGGTCTGGTGGTGCGCCTGCAGAAGCGGCCGCCGCGGCCGGTGGCCGAGTCGCGCGGCTTCCAGCCGACCGAGGCCGGTCTCAGCCAGTCGGAGCGCGAGCTGAGCTCAGTGCGCCGCCAGCTGGCCGACCGGTGCGCCGACGCCGCACTGCGCCGCCGCAGCCCGTCGCCGCGCGCCTGCTCCGACGACGGCGGCCTGCGCGTGCTGTACCGCGCCGACGGCGCCGAGCCGTGGCAGCCGGTGTCGCCCGAGGGCCTGTCGGGCCTGTCGCTGACGCCCACCGACCCGGAGCTGGCCGCGCTCCGCTGGAGAAAGAGCTCGCGCGGCGAGGACGGCGACCCGGAGGCGTGGTCGGCCGGCGGCGAGTCGGCGACGCCGCCACCTGCCGAGAGCCAGTCGCAGACCGAGCTGCGCAAGGAGAAGGCGGCGCCTCCGCCCGGCGTCGGCGGCGCCAACTCGTGGTGCTGACGTCACAGATTTTCGGAGACCAGATAAATTACCGTGTTTTTTTCTAGAGGAGAAACGTTCGAAATTAAAAAATGTTTCGTTGTATGCTTGGTCCTGTCCTGCTATTTATCACTGCTCAATCGTTTCACTGTGTTGTTATTGCCCTGTGTAATAATTGTTGCTCAATGTTCTGTAAACAAAACGCTCAGCGAGGATATTTCCAAATGGGAGTTGGAGCTTCTACGTATTTTTCTCGGCTAGTCCTAATTCCATGACCGGAGCAGCAGATGCGCTAGGAATGTCTACGCACTTTTCAAGGGCTGTTGTTTTTAAATAAACAGGCTGTGATTGTTCATATTCATGCTTTTTCATACACCTACAAACTCAGGTAACCGATGATATGTTTGTGAGCCAAAAGGGGTAGGTATGATTAGCGACAGCAATAGGTATGTATGTACATAAGTACAAACATACACGTATGTGCCGGGCTGCGAAGTTGGAGACGGTCGGAGTCGACAGTAGTGCGCGGAGTCTGAGTCGGAGTTAACGTTGCATGGCTCAAAGTCATACCCTACACCTGTTTGCTTAACCCTCGCCGGCCGAGGGGGGGGGGCGGGGCGGGTGCCGCCCCCCCCCCCCCCACAGATTTTTTTCGCGATAGCTCCGAACACGCTGGCGATAGAGAGCTGAAACTTGGCATACCTGACCTTTGATTCAAGCCGGATCTTTTGACACCAACCGCATTTTCGGGTCAGGTCAGGTCACTGACCTATGACGTCATAAGTGAACCTCTGCACGGTCTTTAGATGTCGCAACTTCGCAACGCCCTCACTGCCAGAGGAGCTTTCACAGGGAAATGAAACTTGCAGGATCTAGTATATATTACGAGTCTCACTACTTGTACATCTCTGATTTTTCCTTAAGGTCATATGAGGTCAGGTCATTTTCGTGACCTCACCATTACCTATAAGCAGGGCTGCGGAGTCGGAGTCGGAGTCGGAGTCGGAGTTGGTCGGAGTCGACAGTTGTGACCGGAGTCGGAGTCGGAGTCGGAGTCGATTTTAAAAACCCGAGCCGGAGTCGGAGTCGGAGTCACCGAAATTTGTCGACTCCGCAGCCCTGCTAGGTCTGCGGAGCCGGAGTCGGGAGTTGGAGTCGGTCGGAGTCGACAATTCTGCCCGGAGTCGGAGTCGGAGTCGGAGCTGGTTTTTCAAAGCCGGAGTCGGAGTCGGAGTCGGAGTCGCCGAAAATCCATCGACTCCGCAGCCCTGCCTATAAGTCAATTGAAAAAATGAAAACTGCTATTCTGGCGCCGGGAACGATCTCCAACTATCTCAAGCACACAGAATCGTGATTTCATGCACTCCTTGCAAGGTAAGATGCGTCACTTTTGCAATGCTGACCTTGCGTGACGTCATTTATGACGTCATCAAGGTCATATTAGTTCTTCTTCAATAACTGCCGATCAAATTGAGCTAGCGAGTCGGGAAAGCCACCAATAGACTCAGAAAGACCTGCCAAATAGAATGATATGCGACATGACCTCCTTTGACCAATTTCGTGACCTGGGGGCGCTGACCTGACCGTGACCTGAGGTCAATATCCTAAGTTGACCTCACCCAAACAAAAAGTACATATATCATTCGACGCACCTGAGCGAGGCGAACACGATGCTGCCAAAATCGCGGCTCTGTGGCCGTTTTTTGCCAAGTTATTCACCAAAACTGAACCGTACCCTGGGACACTTGACCTGACCTCAGAGGTCACCGGTTGACCTAGGACCTTAAAATCGGGTATCAATCTCTGCGTCTTGTAACGGCGCACACGCTCGTTTTTTCTGCAACGCGCTAGCTCTACCAGGGGCGAAACGGTGATGGTCGTAGCCCCCCCCCCCCCTCGGCCGGCGCGTATGTAGGTATGTAGAAAACCAATAGGTCCGGTGAAGGTTAACGATATTTCGTCCGTTGACCTTTCAAAGTCAGATTTTGTTGAAGCTAAGGACATATCCCTGTTTTGGACGAGTTTGTTAAAAAAGCAAAAGACGGCTGCTGCGTCAACACCTGTTATTATTTCTGCATGCTATTAACCCTCGCCCTGGCAGGGGGGTCGATGCGACCCCCCCCTAAGGTTTTTCGAAGATAGCGTAAAAACGGCGGCGCGCAGCGCCGCCAAATTTGGCACAGTCTATGGGGCAACCTTTTTACATATGACCTGAAAATTTCAGGTCCGGGTGACCTTGGGTCAGGTCACCAGGTCAGAAAAACCGGTACAAGGTCATGGTCAAATTTCAATTTTCTTTTTACACCTGTCCAACTCACAGTTTTCGACTGATTTCCTTCAAACTTTCAGGATGTGCTAAGTTCACCGAGTTGTGTAACATATAGTCCGTTTTTTTTAGGTCACTGACCTGAGGTCAGTTAAAGGTCATTACGTCGTAATGTTAAGCCTATGGGAAAATACTAAATTCGGAAAATACTGGAGATATCCGCTTTGTTTGATCTTTTTTGTGCTTTGAAACCACGGTACTTAACATCAGGTCACTTGGTGTTTCTTTGTTTGGTGTACTTATCCATGGGTCAGGTCAAATGAGGTCAACTGAGGTCAAATGACGTTTTTGCCAATAACTTGGCACATAATGACGCTAGAGCTTAAAAAAATGGTATCATTGTGTTCCTGGTGATCAGTCGAATCAAATGATATGCGATATGATGCAATTTGGTTAACTTAAACCTAATTTATTAAGTTAAGTTTACTTAAAATTTAAGAAAAACTTTAAGTACACTTAAGCAAGCTAAAAAGTATATCATTCGACGCGCCTTGACGTGCTGAGTTCACTGGTGCTTTTCTTTTTGCTCTATCTTACTTAGATCAAAAGTTATAAGCGAAAAACTTTTGACCTGTTTTTAGCGAAATTTTTACATTTATACCCCCCAAACCCCCCCCCCCCTAAATATTGACCTAGAGCAACCAAATTTGCACAGGGGCGAGAACTCCGGGGGGCCCACCTACCTACCAAATTTGGTGTTTCTAGGTGCCATAGGAGCCAATCGCGAGGGGGGGGTCGCATCGACCCCCCCCCCCTGCCAGGCCGTGTTATGAAAAATGCCCTGCCAGGGCGAGGGTTAAAAAAAAAATACTTACCTACTTGTAATGCAGTGCCTTGGAACGTGCAAAGGGTTCGATAATGCGCAGTGCACACTGCACGCTACACATTACACATACCCAAAACACGCCACATCATGTAAATTGTCACTGCATTGCATTGCCTGCGTTACATCAAACATGGAGCGCGGTTATTCAATTCTGAATTATTAACGCTTAACATTCAAAAAGCAAAGCCTCCGGGTGTAGGCTTATGGGTTGCATTACTGACCAAACACTTACGATGTCTCACATATTGCAACATACACATCCCAACCAATGAATAGGTATAATTTGCATCGTTAAGTGCTTATCGAATGTGAGAGGTCATTCATCCGAATTGCTTTGAATAACCTTTCAGAATCAATCTGTTATAATCGCGTACCTAGGGTAGGGTGGGGTAATTTGAACATGTGGGGCAATTTGAACATAATGTGAAAAACACAAAATTGAGGAAAATCCATAAGTGGCATGACAATAAGACCAATGAAGGAAATTATCGTAACTAAAAGGGCTATCATATGAACGCGGGGTTTAAAGTTTCAAGGAATGAAGATGTTGACGCACACTGTAAAAAATCAATTTCGCAAGTAAAAACGCCTAAAAACACGTCATTGCAACTTCATTGCAGCGCAAAATCTTGCATTTCTAGCGCCTAGTACGCAACGGCTTTTGTTGTACAATGACCTAATCAGTGCCTTCAATCCAAGAAATTTGCTTTTGAAACCTGTTTTTAAATATGGCAAAACAACTTTTAGCGTGGGGTAATTTGAACATAGTGTGAGAATTTCAATGAAGACAGGGATAGCTCCGAAAAAACAACGCTCCCAGTTTTTTTTTGTCAATATTTTCGACCCAAAGCAGTAGCAGATAAGTGATGTCAGTTTTATAAAATTTACGTCTAATATCCGTCTAATGTCCGGCATTTTCGATGATTTGCATTCAAAAATGTTAAAGTCAGCCATTGTCCAAATATGTCCGAAAATTACGCATTAATGAACACTCAAAACTGTCATTTAAATTGCTTAATTTAATTTTACCAGCCGAAAAGTGTTCATTACCTATATTGAGACCTTAACAAGCTTTCCATTCGCCAATCAATGCTATGCACGATTACTTTATAAAAAGCGCTGAAGTGTAGCAAGCCATCGTCCAATGTTGTCCAGTCTGCTACCCTTGTCCAACCAATGCCGAATTGGACATGGGACAAAATCAGAACTCCAAATGTCCAGGTTTCGATTGGCACCACTATAACAGATGCAGTAAGGTTGGGAGAGTTTTTATCGAACAAAAATGATAGACGTTCTGTTAATTGAAGAGAGGCGAATTCTGTCAACTGACCGGTGTGCAGCGTGCAGATATTGATACTCTGCAACTGTTATTTTTGTTGTTGTGTTGATTTTTCAAGTGAAGGTATGTTTAGAATTGTTCTGCCTATTTGTTTATGGGTCAAACAACATCGGTGCTGGCGAGACTATCGTTTTTATGACAGGTAAAGGCAGTATGTTCAAATTACCCCACGGTGGGGCAATTTGAACACACTGTGACTTGGTGAAGAAGTGAGGCTATGCTATTCAAGGTATGCTCGGCTCGTCCAAAAATGAGGCTTGCATGGTGAAAGCAAGTGACACTTGCGCTACTGAAGCAGTTTTTCTTCATCCAGGGTTGAGTTGGAATTTGGTACAACGGAGAAGACGTAAAAATATGTTCAAATTACCCCACACTACCCTATGTATTTTTGTAAACCTTATATGTATTTGGTTACGGACTTTCACCATACCAAATGCCGTATATTGGTACCTACTGATGTGGAAATGATTGTGGCTGAAAATTGATTAACAAAATAGGTATACGTGAATGTAAAACGGTAAATTTTGTAAAGAGGTTATTCAAAAACAATTACTTAAAGTTACTCTAGTTTGAATCAGTTCGACAGTCATGAGTCAATACACATTGCTATTAAGTGCAAGCACCTAAACATCGAAACAAATATCACCTCGGATGACTAAAGCCATCACTAAACATGACAGCCGGTGATAACTGATATCGGCAGGACTGACCTCGGGCGTTCCCCGCTAATCCCCGTCGGCGGTCCGTCGTCAGGCCTCGGCGGTCGGGCGGTCGGTCGGTCGGTCGGTCGGTCGGGCCACTCACCGGTACGGCGCGGCGGTCGGCGAGTGTTGCCGATGCGGTGACCATATCAGCGTGGGCGGCCCGGGGGTCCCCCGCCAGGTCTTCCCGGTGTTGTGACGCGGGACGTCGACCGCGATGGCCGTGCTCGGCCCGTCAGAGTGTGTTCAGCTCGGCCTCGGGTGACACGGCGCGTCAACACAGCGCGGTACGGGAGACACTGCAAGTCGCCACAGCAGTCCGGCCAACAACTCGCCACAGTGCAGTGCGCAGCTGGAACGACAGCCCGTCAACGACAGCTGCTTCTCGTGTAAATAAGGTAGGTATGTTTGTGCAATCACAAATGCGAAACGATTGGTTGAGGCTGCAGGTCAACCCACGCCAGGGGTCGGGCTGTGGCATAATCGGGCCTCATTTACCCTCGCCCGTATCGTATTGGTGTTTTGCCAGTCGCTAGCGTACTAGGCACGGGGGGGGGGGCAGCCGTTTGGCCCCTGATCGGGCTAGGGCCTCACAGAAAAAAACGATGCTGTTGCCCGTAACGAAAGGAAGCCAATGGTACCAAGTTAAAGGTCCTAGATCATTGGTTGACCTTCCAGGTCAGGTCAATTACCCAAAAGTCGGGAAAATCGGGACCTGCTGGAACTTCGTCAAGTGAGGTTGTGATGGATTTTTTTTTTCGTAATGCTGATCACGAGTTTCATGTTAGTCTTGATCACAGATGCTGTCTTCAGGCATTCAGGCTAGGTCGGGTCAGATCAACCAGCAGGCGTTCTGCTGGCTTTCCAAAGAAGGTGTCAACCACCACCGGCAGCTTCGTAACATGTTACGAAGGCAGCAATGACCAAAACTACTTCGCAAATGTTCCAATGCAATGGTAAATTCGAAATCATCTTAAAAAAACTGCTCTAGAAACATGTACCTACCTAAATCTCGAAAAAAGTGAGCCAAGGTCATCAGAAGCTAATGACCTTGACCTGACCTTCACGTGACCTTGACACCCACCATACTGCGTGGGACTGCACCATACATCACTGAGCATGTTTGAACGTTTACAAACCACACAAATTCTGAAAATGGCCGGATAGATAATTATCTATCGGCTCACATTATAATGTGAGCCGACATACGCCGAATCGCGATTTCGGCCAAGCATGGTCTCGAGAAAGAGGTCACAGTTCAGTCATTTGGGGCAGGGTCATGAAATTTTCAGGATAGGTGTAAAATTGATCAACGCCGGGGTTCTGAAAGCTTTGTCGCAGTCTGTTTGTTGCGCGAGGTATTTGCGAAAAAAAAACAGGGGGTCCATTCGGTTGCCCTCCCTCTTATAATTGTATTGTCGTCGCATTGTCGTCGTCCGTCGTATTGTCGAATATTAACCCGCGCGGGGCTGGGGGGGGTGGTAAATTTTACCCCCCTCGCGAATTTTTGCAATATCTCAAAAACGGCGGCGCGCAGTATTTTTTCAGTATTTTTTCTTACATCATTTTGACACGTTCCCTGAAAATTTGAGCGAAATCCGTAGGAAATTTTTTGAGAAATTGACGTTTTAGTGACGTCATGTTCGCCATTTTCGCCTCAAAAACGGCAAAAGTTCAAACGCCGCTAACATCTTCATTTTTAAATGAATCAAGACGTAACCAAAAAGGATATACGTAATTCTACTTTGTCTATCAAATGGCTATCTCGGTTTGTTGAAAATTTTGGATTTTGGTCCAAATTTTTTCAAAAAACTGACTTTTTTGGGAAAATAGCTATAAATCCAAAATTTTGAGTGCATCGAAAAAATCGGAATATATCTGAGAGAAGTGGTCTATGTGCACCTACATACCAAGTTTTAGAAGAATCGGCTAAAAAATGTGGGAGTTATTCAAAATTGTATGACGTCACGACACACAAAATTTTTGAAAAATGACTTTTTTTGGAAGTTCTAGACCTCGTACGGAAACAAAAATAGCACCGTTCGATTCGCCGTGAAAAAACTGCATCAGATAGACACCTTTTTAGGCCTTAACAACCAACTTCAAAATTTGACCTCACTTGACCTGACCTTGACCTGACCTCGACCTGAAATTCATCCAGAGGTGGTCCATATCACTTATTGAGTGTGCCTATTTAATTCTATGTGTAAAATGACCCATAAAACATGCGTCGCACATGCCCTTTTCTATATTTTGTTTTTGGTGACCTGACCTGACCTGACCTGACCTTGATCTTGACCTCTGAATGATATTGGATGCAACGAATATTGTCTTGGTAGCCTAAGAACACGTTTTGGGCGATCAGTCTCAGTCCATGACTCCATTCTTCGGCAACTACGGTGCAAGGCCGATACTGTAGGAACTTGCAATTTGTACCCTTGACCTGACCTTGACCTTGACCTCAAACTTAAAATTAAGTACATGTTTTTAGTTGTTCGTGATGAGATCTTTCGATTGGCGTTTGAATTTTTCAAATCGGACTATTAGTTCGGGAGATAACAGGGGGGGGGGGGGTAAAATTTACCCCCCCCCCCAGCCCCGCGCGTTCGGCTGGAGACCCCAGCCCCGCGCGGGTTAAGAGTTAAGACCCACAATGCAATAAGGAAAGCAATTTTCTTGGAAAGCACTAGAAGAGAATCAAATGAATAATCTAGATAGCCAAAAAAAGAAAGAAGAAGAAACGAAATGCGTTAAATTTCACGAAGCTTATTTATCATTAATGTTAGACTTTGATGAGTGAAATACCGGTATCGAGCCCGTTGTAGGTCGAATGCGTACACAGAATGATGTTCCACTCCAAACAAGGTATCAGTTGACTGAAACGTTAGGTTATGCCGATTAGCGCGACATTAACCCACGAGCCGCTGGGGGGGGGGGGGCATAAAGTTGCCCCCCCCTTTACGTTTTGTGAAATATCTCCGAAATTTGATGAGCTATGAACGTGAAACTTGGCATAGCTTCAAATGAATAACTAGGCAATGTATGAGGAAAGTTTGGTGGTTGTAGCACCTAAGATGACGTCACAGTGACGTCATAAAGTTTTGTCGTTTTCCGATATGGACCGTTTCTGATGACGCTGAGCATGAAACTCAACTGTAAATGAACTAGACAGCACCTGCTGTCATCCTAAAACATCTAAATACACTTCCATCTAGTTTTTGACCAATAATCGACCCTTTATATTCGGTCCCATATATCTGATGTATCGTGAGGAATACGAGAGTGGCAAATCTATAATTTCACTTATGACGTCACTGTGACGTCATTTCAAATGGGATCGACACCAAATTTGGACACAACTTCCGCTAGGTACCTATTCGGAAAGATGTGTGCAAAGTTTCGTTTCTCTATCTCTTCGCGTTGCGACGATATCGTCGGAGAAGTAAAGGGGGGGGGGGCAACTATATGCCCCCCCCCCAGCGGCCGGCGTGTGGCGCGGAGGCCCAGCGGCCGCCGGGTTAAGCATGTCTGGTGACCATAGGGTCACAGGGTCAAGCTGTGTTACCCAACATGTGTGATGCGGCACAGTCTACCATTCCAGTCAACTGGTTGCGTATGAGAAATTGAACGTCATTGTCGTGTAGTCAACTGTAGCCCAGCTGCCTCTTCTTCCAGCGTGTGATGCTTCATTTCTGACAAATATTTTGTGTTTTGTGCCCCGCAGAAGGCTATGGCGGAATCGGCGCCTTTCCGGTGCTCGTTGTGTGCTGTCACCTGCAACAGTGAGCAGTCCTGGCAGCAGCACTTGGCCGGCATCCAGCACGCCAAGCACACGGTCCACACAAGGTGAGCTGTCCGGTGTCCAACATACTGACAACTCACTTTGTAATAATCCTGTAGTCGTACTGTTCTCGACTCAGTTAGCTGTACCAACACTTAGGTGAGCAGTCCGGCGCCACCCTTGCAATAGAAACGTTGCTTAGTATTTGTCGCACTACGAGTACGATAAGCGTAGCCTGTATTTATCCAACAGGCACATGTATGGTAGCATTTGCATATACGAGCAGCTGGGTGCATTTGTTGACGCATACATGCACCCGCCTCTGTAGCATATGCTCTCGCTCTCGCCTCGTTGCTATGCCTACTACTATGACGTTATTCTGTCTGTACTTGCTATCCTGCGTGAACGCGACAATGTATTACCGCAATGTTTGCCCGTATCGGCAGTGTCGGCGGCCGGACGGAGGGGGCGGCGGCTGCCAGCGAGTTTTTCTGCGCGGCGTGTCAGCTGCAGTGCTCGGGTCCCGTGCCGTGGAGCCAGCACCTGCAGAGTGGCCGGCACCTGGTGCGTTGCCTGCAGACAGGAGGTCTGGTCAGAACGGGACAGCAGACAGCCCGGCCGGCGCAGCAGACGGCCGGGCCGGCGCAGCAGACAGCACAGCCGGTAAAGCAGGCTGCCCAGCCGGCGCAGCAGACAGCACAGCCGGTAAAGCAGACAGCACAGCCGGCGCAGCACACAGCCGGCCCGGTCCGACCAGCCCAGCAGACAGTAGACCAGGTACTGGAGACAGCCGCCCCGACCCAGCAGACAGCCCTTCCGACACAGCAGACAGGCGGCCCAGCCCCTGGAGCACCCGCTGCCACTTCGCACCTGGCCACGGCCTCGACCCAGACGAATCTGCCGCCTCCAGTGATCCCGATCCTGGCTCAGACGGCGGGCTCGACTCCTCCCTCAGCCCCGGGACTCCCTGCTCAGCCCCCGGGGCTGGGGAGCGGCGCGGCGGCGGTAGCGGCCTCCCCCTTCCACTGCGGCCCCTGCGGGGTGCAGTGCTCGGGGGCCGTCTCGTGGCAGCAGCACATTGACAGCAGCCGACACCGTAAGAAGGCAGCCGGCGGCCGGCTGGACTGAGGGTCACACAGACGCAGAGCTGGCGGTCCCGAATTGTGCTAGTCGGGATCACAGCGCCGACTAACGGGACTATCGCAGGGTTTGCATCGATGAGACTTTCCCCACGAGCTTTCTACGCGATGACTGCCTTTTTTTCTAGCAATTGTAACGCTTACTCAGTCTGTCGTAAGTGGTGAGATAGGCGGTTGCGGCGCGTTGCAATATGCACTGCGATGCAACTTATAACGACATGTTGTGTTAGGTATATGTTAACGCTATAGTTTTTAGATCGATAGTTTTTCGACGCATCGGCATACTGGAAGAGAAGCGTGGAGCTGTCAGCTGGCAATGGTAGGTAGGTACTCATATACGAGTATGCTCCATATCTTTGTTAAATGGTTGATTACCCTCGCCTTAGTCAAAGCAGTAGCCAGCTTGTTTATCAAATAATGTATAATTAAAATGTTATTGATTTGAATCGGGAAGGTATCCAGTAGTAACTGATATGTGACTTAACCCTCGCCCGTATAGGGGGGGGGGGGATCGAACGGACCCCCCCTCGGGTTTTCGCGAATAACTCGCATAAAAAGCGGCCGATCGCGACGAAACTTTCAGTACCCTCGCGTTAATCAATTTTACACCTACCCTAAAATTTTCATGACCCTGACCCTAATGACCTTTGACCTGTGACCTACTTTTCGAGACCATGTTTGTTTGGCCGTGTAGTATATTAACGTAAAAGCAAGAATGAAATACGTAACGAAAGAGTTCAAATAAGCGCAAAGAAAGCACACATCAGCCTCGACCGGCCGCACCGCGCGCACTGACTGACCCGACCGCCGCGCCGGTCAGCTCGGCGGGGTCACCGCGGTCGTGGCGGCTGCCGATTGGTCCGCGCGCTCGAGTCCGCGCCCGCGCTACTCGGCCGGCGCCGCCCGGCGCACACAGGCACGGCATGATGGAAAGTTCCCAACACAGGATCACGATACCACACTTTTCTCCCCCCTTAAACAAAGCGATCCGGCGCACGTACGACACGTCCACTACGCGTTCGATACGGCGAAGCCGGCTCCGAAGATGACGCCGACTCGTCACCCGCACGCTCGGTCGTCGTCGTCCCGGTTTCCGCCTGGTGATCTCCTCCAGCACGATGAACAGCACCATCGCCAGCGTCGCGAGGCAGGCTAGGCGCTGCGGCTGCTCCGGCGACGGACGACTGCTCCGACGTCACGTCACCAGCGGCAGCGCTGGCAGCGGCGTCGACTGCGATTGGCGCTCGCCGTCGCAGCCCGACGGTCGACGACGCAGCAGAGTCGGTGACTGGCTGACAGGGCAGGTCCACCTCGGCCTCCGGTACTCCAGTGCACTCAGGAGACGGTGCAGACCTGGGAAGATCGGGTGGTGAGCAGCGAGACAGGCGCTCCGCGTGGACACGCACTCCACCCTCCAGCTCATACGAAGCAGGTCCACGACGAGCAGTTACACGACACGGTGACGAGAAACGCGGGCGTCCTTTACGTGGCCGCGGCATCACCCGATACCGGACCCAGTCTCCCACCTGGATGGTCGGTGCACAGACCCGCTTCCTGGTGTCGAAGTGTCGCTTCATCTGGCGCTGCTTTCGGCTGACCCGTTGTCGCAAGGCGGCGTCTCCGGTGCTGCCACCTTCCGGTGCGACTGCGCTGTCCAGGTCCGTCCGCATCTGCCGGCCGTGGAGCAGCTCGGACGGGCTCCGGCCGGTCGTTCCGTGCGGCGTCGCTCGGTACGTGCGGAGGTAGGACTGCAGGTACTGTCGGCGGTCCACCGACTGCTGGTCCGCCATCTGGAGAGCAGATTTGATGTCACGATTCAAACGCTCTACAGCACCGCTACCTGCAGGGTGATACGGTGACACTCTGACATGCTTGACACCATGCTTCTTCAGAAACTGTCCAAACTTCACAGATGTGAAGTGAGTACCGTTATCAGTGACAACCTCCCTTGGCCATCCCTCCCGTGACGTCACAGTCAGCAGAAAGTCAATGACAGCATCACTTGACGGTTCACGGACAAACGCCATCTCTGGCCATTTCGAGTAATAGTCTACGAGGACTATCGCATACCTTTGATTTGGTGGTCCTGTCATCGGGCCGATGAAGTCAAGTCCCACCTTATCCCAGGCTGCAGCTGGCAGGGGAACAGGACTGAGCGGTGCGAACCTCGTCTTCGCCGTCTTGTCGGCCACGATGCAGGCTGGGCACTCCTTGATGGTCGTCTCCACCGCTGCGTCCATTCCGGGCCACCAGAACAGCGCTCGAAGCCGCTGTTTGGTCCGGACGATGCCCTGGTGGGATTCATGCGCCAGCGTCAGCAACCGAGGTCTGAGCACTGTGGGAACCACGATCCGTTCACCACGCAAAACCAGCTCACCGTCGATAGCTAGCTCCTGCTTACAGCGGAAATACGGCCTGAGGACGTCATCAACATCACTGAAGCGACGGGGCCACTCCCGAGGGATCTGGTCCATCAGGGCCCTTACCTCAGCGTCTTCCCGTCCCGCTACTGCTAGCTCCTCACGGCTGACGGCTGACGTCTCGTCGGCGAGGCAGGCCACCAGCTCGGACTCGTCATCCTCGACCTCTTGCTCCGGTCCCGGCAGTCTGGAGAGGCCGTCAGACGGGTTCAGCTGGCCCTTGACGTGTTCCACTGCAAACGAGTAGTTCATCAGGCGCACCGCCCAGCGAGACATCCTCATGCCGGCACGACCAACACCCCTGACAGTCAACAGCGATTTCAAGGCAGCATGATCGGTACGTAGCACAAACTCTTGACCCCACAGATATTTGTGCCATTTTTCACAGGCCCAGACGCACGCTAACCCCTCACGCTCTGTGACACTGTACCTCCGTTGTGCAGCGTTGAGCGTGGACGAAGCGAAGGCGACGACTCTCTCGCCCTCAGGATGTACCTGGCTCAAGACGGCTCCCAAGCCGACATCACTGGCGTCCGTCGTGACAACGGTCGGCAGGCTGGGGTCGAACATCGACAGGGCGTCAGAGTCGAGGATCGCCTGCCGGACGTCGTTGAACGCCGCATCCATCTCTGGAGTCCAGGCGAACTCTGGAGCATCCTTCCTCAGCTGGCGTCTGAGAGACTCGACGCGGGTACTGTAACCTGGAACAAACTTACAGTAGAAGCCCAGGGAACCCAGCACAGCCTGCAGCTCCTTCTTCGACTTCGGCACCGCCAGGCTACGCAAGCCCTGGACGCGCTCAGACGACACGGAGATCCTGCCGTCAGTCACGGTGAAACCCAGGAAGTCCACCGACGTCACTCCGATCTTGCACTTCTGACGGTTCAGCGTGATGTTGTGGTCCTCCAGTCGCCGAAGAACCTGTTGGAGGTGGTCATCGTGCTCTTGCCGGCTGCACCCAGTGACGATCACATCGTCGAGGTACACATGCACCCCTGGCACACCGGTCAGCACACACTCCATCAGCTTCTGGAAGCATTGCGGCATGCTCTTCAACCCAAAGCAGCATCTTCGATACCTCCAGGTCTGGCCGTCGTGGATGAACGCCGTCAGGTCCCTGGACGACTCGTGGAGCTCCAACTGGTGGTACGCCGACTTCATGTCTAGAGTCGACATGCACTTCGCACCACGCAGCTTCTCCAGCATCTCCTGCATGTCAGGAATTGGATGACCATTTGAGATGACAGCTCTGTTCACCTCAGACAAGTCGAGGCAAATCCGTAGACCTTTACCTCCCCTTTTACGGATGGCTACGATCGGTGAGAGCCATGGAGATGCAGCACGATCCACTCGCTCAATGATACCCTGCCGCTCCAAGTCCTCCAGATGGGCACCTACCTCATCTCTCAGAGCGTACGGCATTGTCCTCAGCGGCAGCTGCACGGGGACGGCGTCAGGTCGAAGACGTACCTTGTGCACGTACCCTCTGATCGCTGGCAGCACCTGACTGCTCACCTGACAGACCACGTTGCCGTGACGCACGGTCAGTGCCAGCTGCTGCTGCAGGTCCCTGCCCATGAGTGGCAGCTGTCCCACCGCGACGTAGATGTCTGCGAGCACCTCTCCAGAGTCAGGTCCACGGACGGTCACCGTCATCTTCCCCAGGACGTTGATGCCGCTGCCGTTCCACTGAGACAGCGGACCAGCTGGCCGCAGCTGAACGCTGCTGAAGTTCTGGTGGTAGAGCCTCGCTGGAATGATGCTTACCGCAGAACCGGTGTCGACTAGCATCCTCACTGGGTGTCTGTTGATGGTCACGGTGTAGTACGGACATGGCACCTCACGAACAGCATTGACATCTTGGGCAGACACTGACAGAATTTGCACAGCATCGACACTCTTACTCTGGTTGGGACAACAGTTGCTGAAGTGGCCCACAGACCCACACTTCCAACACTTCTGAGACTTGGCTCGACAGACTTTATCCTTAGCCCAGTGGCCCTTCATACCACACGCCCGACATGTCCCAGACTTCCCACCTGCAAGCTGTTTCTGTGGTGTCCTCCGCGCTGAGGCGCTGTTCCGGCGTCCGGCGAACGCGACCTCCACTGGTGCTGGTGACTGAGAGCTCACGGTGCCCTGCAGCAAGGCCTTCCGCTGCAGACCACGATCGTGCGCGGCGGCCAGTTCCTCCAGTTGGGAGAGGGTCAGTCGGTCAGTCATGATCAGTTTGTCACGTAACGGATCAGACATGCATCCTTCAATGAAAGCATCGCGCAGCATTTCATCAGTCAGTTCCCCAAAATTACATTTTGCGACTGCCTCCCTCAGGTTTGCCAGAAAGATGACATTGGACTCTCCATGACGCTGCTTAATCTGTCGAAACTGCAAACGTGCCGAACGAACATCAGCGTCACTGGCAAACAGTTTCTTGAGAACGCTTACGGCCTTATCAAAACGTAGGTGCGTTCCGGAATGATCATCAGACACGCTACCTTCGCTCTTAAGGTCAGCATCGTCAACTGAGACTGCAGCGCGGTACAGACGACGTGCCTCTGCACCGACAGATGTCAACAGAAACGCCGTCCTGCGGAGGTCAGACCAATCAGACCACCCGCTGGCCTCACCGTACATGATGAAGTCCTCGAACCACGCCTGCCAGTTACCAGGACGCTGTCCCGGCTTGGAGAGGAACTCCGGCGGAGCTGGTGCCTGATACATCTTGATATCTTGAGCGCTATTAACTTAATCCTTGATCCTCGTCGCCAATGTAGTATATTAACGTAAAAGCAAGAATGAAATACGTAACGAAAGAGTTCAAATAAGCGCAAAGAAAGCACACATCAGCCTCGACCGGCCGCACCGCGCGCACTGACTGACCCGACCGCCGCGCCGGTCAGCTCGGCGGGGTCACCGCGGTCGTGGCGGCTGCCGATTGGTCCGCGCGCTCGAGTCCGCGCCCGCGCTACTCGGCCGGCGCCGCCCGGCGCACACAGGCACGGCATGATGGAAAGTTCCCAACACAGGATCACGATACCACAGGCCGGAATCGCGATTCGGTGTAT